GTGAAAGTATTCAAAATTTTAATTTGCATTTTATTTTATTTTATTTTTTATAAATAGAGTATATGAAAAAGAATCATCCTTGAAGAGAAATAGATGCACGTAAATGCTTCAAAAGAGAGTTATGAGTATTAAGAAGTCAACTAAAAATGTTTTCGTATTTATAAAATTTATTATTATAATATTTAATAATGTTATCATATCATAAACACTGAAGAACCAAATCATTATGACCACATACTCATGAACGCGCTGCGCGAGCTTTGGCTTGCAAAGCAGATGCAACTCGCCTCCGCATAGATGCTACAAGCTCTTAGTAGATGACTGGAGATAGGTTGTACCAAATGTCTAAGCAGCGGTTTCGCAAAGTCGAAATATTCAGACATGGTGGTGTTTGAGCTCTGAGCTTCCGCTCCATGAGATCCCAAGTGTGCTGCATCGAGTATAGGTCTGGTGAGTTAGGTGACTAGGACATTCATCCTTATGCTCCTCGAACCACTTCAACTCAATTTGAACTTTGTAATATGGGTCGTTGTCCAGCTGGAAGATTCCATTTCCAGTTGGGAAGACAGACGCCATGTGAAGGTGCAACTTATCTACAAGTATGTTCAGATAGATAATCAGAAGCTTTCATGGTTTGTTCTATCACAACTAAGGGTCGAAGAGCAGCTCATAAGAACGTTCTCCAAAGCATAATACCACCAGCACACCAGCTTGTGTATGACCTGCTGTACAGCAGCGGGCAACTGTTCTCCTCGAGGACAGCGTACCCTCACACGACCATCGACGTGATGAATAAGAAATCGTGATTCATCCGACCAGGCAACTGTCTTCCACTTATTCGTGGGAAAAGTCTTCGATGCTCCCGAGCCCATTGTAAGCGTAGTTGATAATGACGCTTGGTCAAGAGAGGCACATGTGAGTGGGATGTCCACTGCGTAGTCCCATATACAACAGTGTCCGCTGACTGTGTGTTCCGAAACATTTGCACATGGACCTGACTTATACTGGGATGCCAGTTGCCAGTTGGACATTGTCTGGCTCTGATTTTGTTGTACCAATCGGGACATTCTCCGATGTCTTTTATCTTTAATGGTGGTTTCATCCAACACCTTGGCGTCTACTTCTGGTTTCACCATCATTTATCCAATTTGCATAAACACTAACAACGGCAGATCGTGAACAACTTACTAGTCGTGCAGTTACTGATATACTCGTTCCGAGTCTTAGGGTCATTACAATCTGCCCTCTATCAAATTCTCTTAGATTAGCAGCCTTTTTTCTGATTCGCAAAAGTAACTGCAGGAAGGATTCCTTAACTTTTCTAGCAGCAATTGAATATCATTACCACTTAATCAAGTGCCCTCCACGTCATCCAGAAGAATTCACTGAAAAATGTCAGGAGGCTCATATTGTTTTGGCTCGTCAGTGTAGAATGTTTCAGAAAGACTGCACGATTAAGTACCTTTTGAGCAGACTATCACAGAGCTATTGTTCGAACCTGAGAAATAAATCAACCAAGACAGTTTTTAGAAATTTTGCCTTAAAAGTTTTCGAAAATAAAAAATATAACGGTTTTAGGAGTTAAAACACAAAAGGAATGCGATAGCTGGAGCTAATACGGCGAAATATATCATACCAAATATATGTCAATACATCTTCCTTCTTCAATCCGTGTAAAGTTATTTTGGAGCAGAAGACGTGAAAAATGAGAAGTGCCCTCGCCGGGCCTCGAGCCGTGGACTTCTCGAATACGCGCTGAATGTGCTACCGGTATACCACGAGGCATGAAGAAAGGAGGGAGAAAAACACCTTAAATTCTGACCATGGAAAGTATGCATGATTTGGATCAATATTTCATTCTTTATGCGGTATTTGATGTAAAATCTTAACTTGTTTGATCTCCCCTTTTTGAAGGTACTGGAAATCCGTTAGTGACCAGTCCCGTAAGTACTTAACAGCTTTCTGAAGAAATACGGAACTGCGGACGACCACTAAGCTTAAAACCCATCTCCTCCAAGCAAGTGCCTTTCGACGTTTCTGGATGCTGAAAGGGTGTTTTCTACTCTCTAAAGATACTTCGGCGTCTGGAATCGCTAGTGAGATTAAACCCGCTCTTCCGTAAACAGCATTTGACATTCTGATCTCCAGAGCTCCCAACATCATAAAAAACACCATTTGCATGGTTAAGCGTCAGTAGCGTACACCATATTCAAAATCGAGAAGAAAACTTTATGCAATCTCCTGGCCATACAGTAAAATGTGATATTTGGCTCTCACAGTGTGTTGTACATGTCTTGCGATTTTACCCGCTATTTGGCGCCGATCTCTCCGTGCTTGTAAGATAAGATATTTGCCTACCGTCATTGTGTTGCTACTAAATTTTTGGATATCTATTCCTGGCTTTCGAAACGACGGGAGCATTTGTCCGAAAGCTTCCAAAATTGTATTGCTGTCTTATATGTGGTATCGAATTCCTTGGCCATTCTAATTAGTCTTCGAGCATTTTGCAGCTTTCTAATTCTTATCTGATCTAATGTAATGTCCTCTGATGTTGTCTACGGGATTGTCTGTTGGACATATCGCATTGCTACAGCAACTCCATGCTGTTCAATCGGTGTGTCAGTAACAACTTCCACTCACCGATTTCGTGCTGACTTTGAACATACTATGTTGCTTATATGCGCATGTCCTTTACTAGCAGACCCTAGGCGATATCTCTGATTCGTCTTTTGACAAGTTCCGACTGTTTATTTTGCTGTAATTACACACGAATGCAGGACACTTTTGTAAGACTATGCCACTCCCGCAAGAATAGCTTACATCCTTCCTGAGAGTGTTCAATCACATTTACTGTAGACAATTAGTAACTGTAATTTGATTATTTAAAAAAAATGGCTAGTATCCAGATGAGATTTCTGCATGTACAACGTTGAAAATGTAATCCAAGGTTCTGCAACTGAGATTTAATAGAAACGTTACACCATTGTGTGCAAGACTATGAACAAGAAAATAAACCTTCTGTGATATCTAAAAAAAAATTGTTTATAATTTTTTCAAATGAATGAAAAAATACTGGTGGCACATTTATTTTGTATATTCCACGTTCCGTTCTTTCTTGATGCGATTAAATGTTTATATAATTACAAACCCTGCCCCCATTTTTTGACAAATGTGCTTTCTTTTTTCCTTAATTACGAAAGAAGAAAACTAAATAAGTGTCTGTTCTTGTATTTTATTACAAATATATGCTGATTAAAATTTGCTGAAGGAAATTATAACATTTTTCATTACCATTACTCTAACAGTTATAAGTTATCCAGTCCGTGAACGATGCGAATTTTTATTTTCATTAAAGTATAATAATAAGACAAAATTAATTTCGACGGTTCTTAATAATTTTTGGCTGTTTAATTTTTTTCGTGTACTTATTTTGCGTGAATTGATTGCAGAAAGGGAATATTAATTTAACTTAATTCTCTATAAAAAATATTTCATCGAGTATGCCAGTGACAGCCTTACTGCTATTACCATTTATTACACCAGTAGATGCAAGGAAAAAGTACATACACACACTCACACGCAGAGAAATTTAAATAAAAAAAAGAGAGTGAGAGAGAGAAAGAGGAAAAAAGAGAGAGAGATCAGAGAGGAAGTAAATTCTTAGAGGAAGCAAAAATATCAAAAATAACCGAGAAAACAATGAAACAATAAAATAAAAGTCAACCATTAATTTTCTTCCTCTGGCGCTGCAATTAATCGCCGCACTGTAACGAAGCATGTGAATAATAACGGTAAAAATCCATAACTTTGAGTTTTAAACATGCAGTCAAGCTGCCAAAGCATATGTTTGTTTCATCTGTTTTACTGCTTTAAATTGTTTAAGATTTTTTTTCCTCTCTGTTTTTGCTTTGTGTTTCTGAAGGATCTTATTAAACTATTTTTGCATTTTGTTGTTCTTTACGAAGTATCGATTAGCTTAAGCTTTTCCAAATAAAATGTTTAATAAAGTAATTGAAATACTGTGCTGTGAGGTTAATTTTAAGACTTCGTGAAGCTTACAGCACATCGATAGAAGTGTCCAGTTTGATTTTTAGCAATTAAGATTATACGGAAATATTTTCGACATATTGATAAGGTTTTGTAAATATAGTCAAGTTATTATCCTTCGATATATTTTCTTTACGTTAACTAATGCGTAAACTGCACGAGCGTAAGCGAAGAACATTACATGCTGTATTCGGTACAAATATTGCCACTGGTTTATGCAAAAGAATATTAATATATTTTCATACTACAGGTAACAGATTACAAATAATTTAAAAATAGCAGACATAAATAGTGTCATTTTGGAAGCAAAAATCCAGATAAAAAACCTGAAAGCTCAGATTTATATTACACCCAAAGGTTCTTTTTTTTTAACTTGCTGTGTGTTACCTTTGTTTATTAAATATCATGTTCTTTGCAATTAAACCACATAAAATTCCATTTAAGAGCAATATCACAAAATATTTAAAAACAGCATATCTTTAGAATTTCCGATAGACTGTCTTCCGCGCTGGAGATAATGTTTTTTTGTTTTACGTACAGTGTTGCCATTGCTAGCTTTGATATCGTTGAGTTTGTTAATCAAAGATTCGTTAACGTTTTACAGGATATGAAATAGATAATAAAACAAATTCAAAATTCAGAATTCGTGCTTCGAAAACAACAATCCGTCCAGCCTTAATTACGCTTCCCTAATTTGGGTACAAGCTGCAAAATATGCTATAAAATACAAGATATTCTCGCGATAGATGACTTGCCACCCGTTTGTTGACCTGCCATCCGTAAACCAAATAAAAACAAAAAAAAAAAAAAAAAAAAAAAAAAAGGGGGCGGGATAACATTGCGATACTATACATCACGAAAAGCAGCAGAACATAAATAAATAAATGCACAGAAATTTACGCACTTATTTTTACTGCATTACTAGATTATTATATTAAATTATGCAACATTACCAGAAGAATGCGCTGATGAAGTCCTGAAGAGGACCTATCATATCCCTCCGATGGTCGTCACTCTACTTTAAGCACATTTAAAAAGGCGGTTCAAGCGATCCTGTTCGGCATCTGTAAAATAAAGCAGTTCTATTTAATTTTTATTAACAATCATCATTTTACTACTTCATATATAAAACAATACTGATAACCCTCCCCATTTTTCATTCACACAAACAATGGCCAGATGTCTCTCAACATGACCAGAAATTTGTCCTCATTGTCACGATTCGGCTAGGAATTCAGTAAGGAAGCAAGCATTGTGAACATTGTTCTTTTCATATTCCGGGCAATTATTTGTTTCTCGATAGACATTCTATCATTTGAGTGCTGGTACCATAGCAGGATTAACACAATTCTTCTGGTGATTTACTGCCAAACTGTCAAGTGGGTTTATCAAGTGATTCATACTCATAACCAAAGGCAAATAGAGAGTTGGTATAGATAAGGCCTGGTAAGTCACCTGTTGGGAGAATATGAAGTACAAATTTTGAAAATAAAGCCCTTAGAGAAACAGCCAACGTTCCTTTTTTTATATATAAGGAATAGCCTATCACACGCCGATTTAAAAATAGAAATCATCAGAAAATATTTTCTAAAAATTATCGTATTCTTTACCACAATATTAAAACATCATCAAAGCACTATAATTTCAGTTTAAAGCTAGGAACGATGATCGCAGGAAAAACACGCATACCCAGCTAATACTCGGCTTTTATAACAATTTAAATTTTATAATATTTTAAGGTGATACTTTGTCATCATTCAGGATAAAAAAATTTAAATCTTAGCTGACATCACGTTATTAATTATTTCATCTGGCCCTTGTTACCTGTAACGAAGTAAAAAAGGCTACTTTAAAGAATTTTAAAATACTGTATGCTTTCCGTGCTTCTGCGATAACTCGCTACGGGTCATTTTCTTCTTCGTATCTCTACTATTCTCATTTAGTAAAAGTGCTGCTTACTTCAATATTTTTAAACAGCATAATATTTGTAAATTTTATGCTAGGATAATTAGCAACAAATCATAGAAAGTTTTCATCTTATTTCTAGCGATTTTTTAGAAATGCAAGATGTGGGTGTGGAACACCAGCACATTTAACAAATGCCAAACATTATATTTTGGCAATATCTATTACTTCCAATTATTAAGCAAAGCATCTACCGGAATTTACAATAAAAATTCCAGCGAAAGATTTATGCAACAACACCAAGTGCGTGTTTGCACTTCACTAAATTATGAAATATATTACTGAAAAGGAAGGAACGGATACTATAAATAATTAATTATATTATTCAAGTGAATTAGCATAAAAGCAAATAAAAATTATACCGTGTCTTATCTACATTTGCAAAGAGCAAGAGAAAATTATATCAAATCTTATTTCTATCAATATATCTTTTATGATGTCCTTCATTAGTTCTTTATTGTATTACATTACATGTTTAACAAAGGATCAGTGAGTCGCTTTGGCGAGGTTAACCAAATTTCCAGTCGAGTGCTATTAATCCGTATGCCTTCAACTTTACGCTGCATATACTGAGCGCATGGCTGATCAATTGTTTCGACACTTTCGGCACGGGGTTCAAAATTGTTTCCCCGCATTGTATTTCAATGAACGGGGCAGGAGTTCAAAAATATAAATACGTAGATAGATAAATTTGTGGGAGAACTTAAAATATGAAGCGAGGGCTTTCACGAAAGTTAAAATCGCTATATTTCAGATACAATAACAATTCTGATTACGAACAATCGCAATAAAACACGTGTTTATATTAACTAAAACAATTAAATGGATTTCCTGATATTTTCCATTGATTTATTATTGATCGAAATAATTGAGGAATATTTCATTTTTAAATTCAGGCGTTACACATGTACTGTAGCACACTCGTGACGAACAGGCGGCTCCGATTCGTGCCCAAAGCACAGCTACTTCATTATCTGCCCTGAAAATAAGCTATAATTAAGAATATCATGTTCTTCATTCATGATGCACATTAACCTTTCTGAATTTATAATTACTCGGTGAAAAATATTTTGTTGTGATATTCTGAAGGCTGTTTTTCTTATTGTTTCAAACTTAGCAAAATCTACTAACTCTATTTCGAACATTTGCATTAAACTTGCACCTGGTTATGGCATGAAAACTTTATGCATCTGAAATTGAAATGCTTCAAAGGCCGCATGAGATGAATCCTGCTTGTAAAGAATCTGATAACAGTATAAAAACGCTTCTAAAGACTATGTTAGCCTTGTATTGAAATTTTTTCCTACAATGAAATAGCTGGGAAAAAAAAAAAAAAAAAAAAAAAAAAAAAAAAAAAAACATGCAATTTTTAACTGCATTGCTGCAGACTTCTTTAGAAAAATATCTCATTTATATGTCACAGCGATTTATATTTTAACATGTTTTCATGAATAACTGGGAAAAAGAATGCAAGAGTTGAGAGATATTAAAGCTGAATTATTAAATAATGAATAATGATGATGCTGTTTAATTAATTATGGCAACGCACGAGAATACAGAAACGACTTTCTATGAGAAATTAGATTATATTCACATAAATAATGAATGATATTTCTCAAAGTAAAAAATAACGTTCATGAACTTGTTCTCTGAAACATTGTATGTACTTTGTGTCTCTATAAAATCTTTTGAATTAAGCACTTAATTTCGGTATTATTTTTACTACATTTAATTTTCAAGAAAAGAACATTGTACGTTCTCTTTTAAAAACATAACATTATAATTTCACATTAGTTTAAGTTCACATTGTCATTAAATATTCTAAATTCACATTATAAGTTCAAATATCACAGGTTTAAATTCTCGAAAATAAACAAGTCTTATTAGAAAAAAATTGATCAGATACACTAATACCATAGTATACATTTTCAAAATTTTACTTTAAATGAAGTGCGCTACTACTTTCATTTAAAACTGAATGCTCATTATATGGTATTTTCTGTGTGTGTGATTATGGCAAAGCCTCGAGGGCTATCTGCCTAAGGGAAGGGATGCCTTCATGGAGGACTTTCTAAGGGAAACTGGTTCGTATAAACGTTACATATGGGGAAAAACACGAAAACTCCCATGCAGACAGCCCGTTCGCGGGATTCGAACCTCGAACCGAACTACCAGTGTTCAGCGACTCTACCGCTCGGCCGCTGGTAGGTCCTGGTATTTTCTGTGTTTATCATGGATTAACATATGACTGCATGCAGTATGTAAATAAATTTCATTATAATAAAATAAAGCTAGTAGTTTAGTCATAACTGGCTTTCTGTGCTCACATTGCGAAAAATATATTCCATGTAGATGCTTCTTATGCATAAATAAACAAATCGCGCATTAAAAAAATAACTATATTTTGTCACAAAATTTTTAACATATCAATCAAAATTACAACGTATAAGGTTTCCGCCTAGATACAAATGAAATTACAGAATATATATGATGATAGTGAAGAATAAGTAATTACTAGACGCTAAGTTTATTACACTGATGCTATGTGTAGACTATACATTAAAGAAATTTAAAAGGAAGCAATGTTGCCAGCCTTCGGCAAAGAAATAAATTACTCAAATTATGACGTATTCTAACGGTGACATAAAATATTATATTTACGACATAAAGTATTAAAATTGATAAAAAAAGTAAAGAACCCCCCCCCCCAAATCAATCATACAAAAAAATCTGAAGGGTTTCAGGTTTTAAATTACGTCCAAAAGTGGCGTTTTTTTTTAATGTTTTGTGTGTTACCTCTATTTATTAAATATCATGTTCTTTGCACTTAAACCATAAAATTTAGTTCAACAGTAATGTCGCAAAATAATTTTAAAATGAGCATATCTTTAGAATTTCCGATACGCAGTTCCGCGCGCTGATAAAAAGATTCCACTCCCCCCGGAGAGTATTGCGATTGTTCGCTTTTAAATCATTGAGTTTGTTAATCAAAAATTGGTTAAAGTTTTACAAAATCTGAAATCGATAATAAAACCAAATTTGGCTTTCAGTTGCCGATATTCACAGAAGAATTACGTCATTTAAAATTGGATAGCTCTAGGTACCGTTGTTTTATCACAATAAGAGAAACATACATACATTTATGCAGATTCTTCATTATTTAATTTCCTCAAATACAATACAGGGCAATAATATATGGTGGCAACGATTTGAAAAGGGATAAGCCGTTTATAAAGTTCCGACGCAAAATCGCAAAACAACCCCCCCCCCAAAAAAAAAAAAGATACTGCTACAAATATACAAACGTAAAAAAAAAAAAAAAAAAAAAAAAAAAAAAATTAGTCAAGATTATACTTTTGCCAAAAGCAAGGTCAATTTATAAATTGCATAATATCATAAGTAGTATTTCAAGGAACTGTTTTCCGGTTTCATAAAACCAGCTCCAAACTAAAAAAAAAAAAAATATTACGCACAAGGGGGGGGCTTTTTTTAGCGTTTCATGTGTTATCTTTATTTATTAAATATCATATTCTTCACACTTAAACCATAAAATTGAATTCAACAGCAATATCTCAAAATATTAAAAAAAAGCACATTTTTAGAATTTCTGATACATTGTCTCGCGCGCTGGAGAGGAATTTTTTCTTTTCGTACAGTGTTGCCATTGCTCGCTTTGAAATCGTTGAGTTTGCTAATCAAAAATTCGTTAAAGTTTTACAAAATATGAAATATATAATAAAACAAATTCCAAATTTGGGTTTCCAGATGCCCATATTCGAGTGGAGGACTACGTTATTTAAAATTCAATATCTCTATGTACCGTTGTTTTTTCACAATGTTGTTTTTTCACATTCTTCATTATTTAATTTCTTTAAATATAATGCAGGGCTCTAATATTTGGTGGCAAAATTTGAAAAGTGAAACGACCTTTTATAACGGACGACGGAAAATGCCAAAACGAAATTAATAGCCCTTCTGGGCAAATTGCCCCTTTGGGCTAATAGCAGCAGTTCTTTCGTAAAAGAACCTAAATAATGATGTGTAAAAAAACCCTGGAGATCTTTTATAATAGAACATTACTTTTGTTTGAAAGGATATT